CCCGAATTCCCCAAATCCCAAAATCCCCAAACCCCGAATTCCCCAAATCCCAAAATCCCCAAACCCCGAATTTCCCAAATCCCGAATTCCCCAAACCCCGAATTCCAAATTCCCCAAACCCCAAAATCCCCAAATCCCAAATTCCCCAAACTCCGAACCCCGAACCCCAAATCCCAAATTCCCCAAACCCCAAATTCCCCATTCCTACAATCCCAAATTTATTTCCCAATTTTCCTCACCGTGATGATCTCCAGCACCTCGCTCTTGCTGACCATCCCCAAACCCCAAATCCCAAATTCCCCATTCCCAAACCCCAAATTCCCCAAACCCCAAATCCCAAATTCCCCAAACCCCAAATTCCCCATTCCCAAACCCCAAATTCCCCAAATCCCAAACCCCAAATTCCCCAATTTTTTTTTCCCTCACCGTGATGATCTCCAGCACCTCGCTCTTGCTGACCATCCCCAAACCCCAAACCCCAAATTCCCCATTCCCAAACCCCAAATTTCCCATTCCTACAATCCCAAACCCCAAATTCCCCAATTTTTTTTTCCCTCAAATCCCCAAATTCCCCAATTTTTTTTTCCCTCACCGTGATGATCTCCAGCACCTCGCTCTTGCTGACCTCCCCGTTGCGATCCACATCGAAGAGCGAGAACGCCCACTCGAGTTTCAGGTGAGTTTTCCCGCTCGACGTCAGGTGCAGGGCTATGATGTATTCCCTGAAATCCAAGGTGCCGTCGTCGTTGGTGTCGAAGCTGCGGAAAACGTGGCGGGCGTAGCCCTGCGGGTCCGAGTTGGGGAAGAAGGTGCCGTAGATTTTCTCGAACTCGGCGCGGCTGATGCGGCCGTCGGGGCACTGGCGCTGGAAACTCTCGTACCAGCGGCAAAGCTCCTCCTCCGTGTAGCGAGTGCTCGTCTTGAGATCCTCCAGCACCTCCCGGGACAGAGCCCCGCTCTTGGCGTTGCCCATGGTGGGCGACGAGGAGGAGGAGGAGGAGGAGGAGGTGGAGGAAGAAGAGACTGGGAAGGGAGAGAGAAAGAAGCTCTGAGTTGCAAATTGTGGAGGGTTTAGATCCCAAATTGTGGAGGGTTTGGAGTCTGAAATGTGGAGGAAAAGTTTGGGATGCCAGAAGGAGGAGGAGGAGGAGGAGGAGGAAGAGGAAGAAGAGACTGGGAAGGGAAAAAAAAGAAGCTCTGGGTTCCAAATTGTGGAGGGTTTGGATCCCAAATTGTGGAGGGTTTAGATCCCAAATTGTGGAGGGTTTGGAGTCTGGAATGTGAAGGAAGAGGATCCCAAAATGTGGAGGAAGAGAAAAGTTTGGGATGCCAGGAGGAGGAGGAGGAGGAGGAAGAGGAAGAAGAGACTGGGAAGGGAAAAAAAAGAAGCTCTGGGTTCCAAATTGTGGAGGGTTTGGAGTCTGGAATGTGGAGGAAAAGGAAGGTTTGGGATGCCAGAAGGAGGAGGAGGAGGAGGAGGAGGAAGAGGAAGAAGAGCCTGGGAGGGAAAGAGAAAGAAGCTCTGGGTTCCAAATTGTGGAGGGTTTAGATCCCAAATTGTGGAGGGTTTGGAGTCTGGAATGTGGAGGAAGAGGAAGATTTTGGATGCCAGGAGGAGCAGGAGGAGGAGGAGGAGGAGGAGGTGGAGGAAGAGCCTGGGAGGGAGAAAAAAAAGAAACTCTGGGTTCCAAATTGTGGAGGG